TCCATATATTAAGTTACATTTTGTACATGAAGAAATAGAAAGAAATTAAGAACATTTCAAATTTTACCAGCATCTTTCTTCGTCGAAGATAGCTTTTGTTAGTGGCCAGTAGTCCTTTTTTACTCCTTCTTTTAGTCAATTCTAAGCTTCGAAGGGGAATGAATGTTGGTGTAGGGGGTGGTGCACATAGATATTGCGGTGAAACAATTGGTTGCCTCACAGTATAGGTCCATGTGCCCTCCGAGAATCCTATTTCTTCTTCTTCTGAGATTGAATTATCTGATGTGTTTCCTTCATCGCTAACAAATAATAAATATGCATGTCTCTGGTATGAGGGAGTGATATGATGTTTTAACGTTGAAATGATGACTACCTGGAGTAGTCAGTTAAATCGATGTTAGTTGGTTCTTCGGCACTCGAGCCACCCTTCATTAATCTGATAATTATTTTATTCCGAAGCCTTTCCTTTGCATGTTCCAATAAATAAATTATCACGATTAATATGCAGATTCAGTCAAAATGGAATATATCATAATTTACCTTGACAGGATCTGGATCGAAAAAATCCAACAAAGTCTCGCAAAACACTTTTCCAATTTGCTCGTAATCTTGAGTAGAAAAATGGGTCCCAGATCTAGAACCTATTCTTGTTCCTCCCATCGATGCTTCCATCGTGTAACTGTTCTGCACCCCCATAGACCAAACTACAACCCTTCCTGTACCCTCTTTACCCTTCTCCATGTGAAATTTGCAATTTTCGAATGAGAACTAAAAAATTAAATCTTGTTCGAGATTTAAGGAAGAAAGAGAAATATAGTGCCTGATTAACTATTGCACTTTTAATTAATCCATTTCTTCTGAAAAATTGAAATTTCTGAGACACACACACACACACACACACATATATAGTTATTCCAGAAGTTGTCAGATGAGGATGATTTTTGAGATAATTTCAAACGCGATATTTTTCATTAATTAATAAAATCGAAATTTGCTTGAAATTATCTCTTGAAGAATCAACCTATTGTCGGTTTATTTTTAGGATATTTTATAAAATTTTATAATATTTTTTACATATACATCGTAAAAAAAAATAAAATACGAACAAGAAATGTTTCTTTTTCTCGATTTCTAAAGTTTTCAATTTCTAAAATTCATAACATGTTTCGATTACGATCCTGCGTAATTAATTAAGCAATATTGTATTTGTTATTAATCTTATTACTATTTTACAGTGTAAAAAACTCGTAATGTGAAAATAAATGTACGATTTAAATCACTCACTTTATCAGCTGCATTCTTGTGCAGCATTAGAGGGAACACTTGCTCAGAAAGTCTAATATGCGAAGCGGTTTTTTTGCTCTCACAACCATAAATGAATATATTGTGCTTCCTAGAGTGAGCGTGGAGATCACAATAAATTGCCACTCCGCATTCTTCCAATAATCGGCGGATCATTAATTTAGTGTGCCATATGGAGGGATAGCTTTCTCTCATCACGGTTCTGTATTGTCTGTTTAAATCTCTCCCCGATAACGAGCAACGATTGTTGCCTACGATAACACCATCTGGATTCAGCATAGGAACTAATTTGAACACAAATCTTTCACGAAGTACCTGCGTTTGTTAAAAATCATTCTCAATACATTTGTTGTCATATAACAATACAAACAACATTTAGATATATGCACATTTTAATGATATTTGAAAAGAAGCAGTGAAATTAAGATTAAAATTGAAATTAAGATTGTGATATTATCTGTTGAGAAATATATACTCTGGCTTGATTCGATTCTCCAGTTAAAAAATCAATGATCCCTTTCATTGTCCAGCTAGATGGTGTTTCACCAGGATGAACTCTTGCTGTGATAACGATACCTCTTTTTCTTTGTACTTCCTCGTATGTAGGGGCAGTAATGGTTAAATAATAAACTCCATTTCCTGCCAGTGTACGGCATAATAATCTCAATTTGGTATATCTAGATTTTATGGGATCGGCGACTAGTTTGCTGAGATATTCCTAAAAATTTTCCAATGATTTTCTTCAATATATTTAAGATAAGGAACAAAATTTCCTTCACCATTCATAATTTTTATACAATAGTTGAAATAATAAGTACAAATGACCTTTTCTTTAGTAATATTTAAACTATTTAATATTTAATCATATTTGAATTTAAATCAATAAATTTTTTGAGATGCTGTAAATTGCTTAGAAATTATTATTTTTATCAATTTTGTAAATTCTTATTCACAAATTCATTTAATTTTTGTTTTCAAATAATGTAAAATGTAAAAATAATTTTGGATGAAGAAATTTAGAATAGATTAAAGAAAACTATTAATTTATAACTATTCTTAATTTGTAATATTTTAATTATCAATAAATTTGTAATATAAGAATAGAGAAATTGATAAAAATAAGAATTAAAAGCATAAAGAATATACTGCAACATCTTAAAAACTTAACTTTCAGAAATTGTATATTAAATAAAAAAAAAATTAGAGACAATTATCTATTACATATTTGATGAATATTGTTATTTATTATCACATGCTGCCTCTAACAATAAGTTTCAATGAATTAATTCAATCAATTTAATCTTTATTATTATTACCTGTAAATCGGTATAAGTATATGGATAACAATGTGCCAAATAGACAGTGTCTCTGTCGTGAGGAAAAGAAATGTTAAACGTCAATGTATGCTTTTCTTTCTCCTCGTCACTTCTGAAAAACAAAATACTTGTAATAAAAATTACATATTTGAAATCTGAATATTTCTGAAACTTTTTGAAACTCAATATTAAAAAACAATATTAAATTTATACTTAATATTTTTTGTATTAAAAAATTATTATTATTATTATTATTATTAATTGTCAAAACGTCTGAGTAGATAATAACACGTACGACGAATCATTTCTGTAATAAGCAATATTTTCTCCGCATCTTCTCCAACCGACAGCTCGTTTCTTGGCGTCTTCGATTGAATACAAAAGTGGTCGAAGACCTTCGTTATAGAGGCTTTCATCTTTGCTAAGATTCACGATAGACAATCTGAAATTGTTTCAAGTTTTCTCAATTTATAATTTGTATTAATATATTAATCCTCTTAATAGAAAATTTAATTTAAAATCAAAAGTTCACCTATAATTCGTTCTACTTCTTGTATTCGATATTCTAAAGTAATACCACTGCGTGTGCCTTTGAGTATAAAGATCTTTTCTAAGATAGAGTTGATAATACGTGTCCGTGATCTTAACTACTTTACAAAGGTTTCCAGATTCGAAACGGGATTCAAAATGTAAATCGGTGTTAGTATCCGTTACATTAGCCACTTTGGTTAATAGGAACACATTGTCGCTAGTGTCAACATCCTTTGACTCGTTTTCTTCATTCAAATCTGTTGGAAATTCCGTTGGAACTGTGTTTCCGCCTACGCAAGATCTACTAAACTGTTCATCGTTAAACGAATATAAATTGTTAATCTTTTAAAAACCTTATTGATTTAAAACTGGATAAAATTTGAAATAATTTAAAACGATAATCCTCCATTGCAGAATCGAGATTAGGATGCTACCATTTATCCAGAAAGATAAGAAGAATTATGGAGAATAATTTATTTGCAAAATCTTATATAACTAAGAAAATATTATTTCTATTTCAAAAATCTATTTCCCTCCTGTTAATATAAACATATATTTTATTATCACATGATGTATCATCGACTTACATAACTAGTGACACCAGTTGGGTGATATCGAAATATCACAGTTCCAAGCTCATCTCCTAATGGCTTTGGTTTCGGTTCCCTTCCGGTTGGCACGTAGAATGGTTCTGGAACGAGGGGAACGTATTCAATGTGTCGTACTCTTTCTGGAAGTACCTAAAATATTAATTACTCAATTATATTGTTCGAATAATGACTTAAACTATTAAAAAAATTGAAAATAAAATTTTATTAATATTGATGCAAAATTAATTTTTCTTTTTAAGTTTTTTATTAATAATTATTTGAATAAAAATTTATTTCAATGATGTATACGTATGAAGAATTTTATTATTATTTATTTTTTATTCATTTATTTCACAAATAAATAATCCTGATTTTAAATTGCTCTCTTTTTTAATATATTAGAATTTTATATTTTCCTATATAAAAATATTTTTATTATTTGATATTTATTTGATATATCAATCCTTTAATAATAATGTATATATATTATATTAATTATATTTTAATAATATTATAATTATATTATAATTTTATATAAAATATATTAAATATTAAATGTCATTGAGCTATCTTTGTAATTAAATAAGTATTTACATACCTCGCATTCTGTAGGCCATCTAGCAGCTTCACGAGTAATTCCATCTATTATGCAATGAGTATCCAATAAGCTTCGAAGAGTCTCTTGCGACTGATTATCTCTGGTTCCAAATGGAATAGAGAACAATGATAATTCCGTTTCTCGTCGTGGTATCTCACATTGTCCTAACTGCAGCAATTGCAATTCTTGAAGTTTTTTTAAATTTGCCAGCGTACTGCCTGTATTAATAACGAATTCTTCTTATATTAATATTAATATAGTGAATGTTATTTTATTTACTTGCAATAAATGCACTTTTAATTTTAAAATTTAAAAACATTTTGATAATATAAAATTATACATAAAATTGTAAATATATGAAGTTTAAATTAAAGGATTGATATATCAAATAATAAACATTTTTTTATATAGGAAAATAAAAAATTCTAAATTTCATTTTAAATGAAAATATAATGGTGTAAGATATGTTACTTTATTTTGAGTAATATATTATTTAAATAATAATAATATATTTAAAAGAAATTATTTTAATGTTAATATATTAATGATAATATTTTATATAATTCTAAGTGTATTTCTTTTTATATTTATTGATTCAAATTTGAGATAAATTTTCTATTTTCTTATTCTTTAATATAATAATATTTTAGAATTTATTTGCAAATATTTCTTATTTCTGTTTGTTATATTATAAATATATTATAAAGGATTAAACTTACCAGGAACCGGTTGAATCGGGAAAAGCATAGCTTGAAGTTCCTTCACCTTACTACCAGTCGAAAGATCTTTCATTTTTCGTTATCTTCCATCTGCTTGATCATTTTTCTCTTCGTTCTTCAACTTTATTGCCTCGAAACTTTCAAATTTATTTTCGCTCAAATTGCAATCAATCATCCACAAAAGTCTTCCATCCAACAAACACTTTGCAATCGTGTTCATTTTCTTTAATTTTTATTCCTATATATTTCTATAGAGATCTTTTTTTCTTTAATCATTTGTCGAATCAAATCTTTGATCATTCTTTAAATACATCTTTCAAATTTCATTGAATGTTGTAGGATTAATTAATTTCGTGTGATGTGTTCCCTGAACGAATTTAGCGCGTGAACTGCCAGCAGGAAAATACGCCTTTCAGTGAAAAGGAACGTAAAAGCTGACTTGTCGATTGCCTGACAACGGAGAAATAGGGGCGGAGCTTTCTCGTTCATCGCTCTATTCTGATGGATGATCATTTGCATGAAATAAGAAAACTAAGAAAAATAAGAAAATTAAGTTGTTGAAATAGATGAAATTGAAATTAATATTTTCATTTCTTTGAATGATATAGGATTTTGCAAATAATTATATAAATAAATAGTATAAATAATAATAGTAATAAATAATAATTATATAAATAAATTATATAAATAAATAATTATATAATAAATTTTAAATGAATATTCTAATACCAACTTATATAAATATTATTCCAAAATGAATATTTCATTGAAATTATTTCTTATAATAATAATATAATTATAGTTATATTTTTTATGATTTATTGAATTAGAAGATAGTAATAATTATAGAGAAAATATATTATTTCAAATAATAATAATTTAAATAAGCATTTTTTAATTTTAACATTATTAGTTTAATATAAATATATCAAAGTCTTATTATTGTGCAATATTAATATTGAGTACTTTTGAACTTTAATCTATTCTAGGTCAAAATAATAATTGATATGTATACAAAAATGTCAATTGAGATGTATTTATTAAATTATAATTAATTTAATTTTGCATTAGATAAAGTGAAATAGAAAATAAAATGAGATAATTCTATCTTTGTCACACTATCGTTTTGCTCATTTTCGTTTTGTTTTATTTAATGTAAACTTAAATTGGTTATAATTTAAGAAAATAAATCTGAATCGATATTTTTGTATTTTTGATATATATAATTTATATATTTGATATATATGTATTACATATTTTATGTATTTTAATGATTTTCAAAGTTATCCCATTAATATTATTCTATTAATTGCTTAATATTATTAATATAATATAACATAAATAATGAAATCTATTTTAAATATTTAAGAAATAAAAAATGAAAAATAGGACATAATTAACTTAAATGCTTATTGTTTTCAATTAAAAATAAATATTTTATTTAATATATTCTATCTTATCAAATCTGAATATAAATACTAAGTGATACCTACTTGATTAAATAACTCTTAACTTATTTTAAATTTTTCTCAACTTTAGTATTGGAATTTTATTTTGATTCATTGTAAAAATGATGTTATCGATTTTTTTTAACATGTTATTAGTTTTCTCAATTCTTTTAAACCTCAATCTTTGCAATTGAATATCTTGCTATAGAGGAAATTGTAAAAAATTATATCTTGTTTTACAATCTGAATTTTTGAAATATTTCTGCAATTTACAAAGATTAATTATGACAAGGATGATTTATCAGAAAACAATATTAATTTAAAAGCATTGGCAGTGTCTTCAAATGTTTCTTTTGCTTAGTCGCATGAAACAGCTAAGCAATTTACTTATACATCCCTTTCCTGACTGAAAATTATTGATCAATCAAGTTTGTCGGACTCAAGAATGGATATGCTGTTATTTCCTGGGCGAATATTCTTTCCACTAATCAATGAGCTTTCAATTGATAGACAAGGATCGATCGATTGTCCATTTATCGATATTCATTGTATCTTTCCAATTATATAAATGTTTACGTTACAATTTCTAAATAATTTTTTCGCTTTTCTATCAATAAAATTATATTGTTTTTTCTATTTTTGCAGATAGATCACATTAATTTTCGTTTTATTTAAAATATTCGAAAAAGAAAAAGATGGGTCGAACGGTGACAGTGGCAGTTTGCACATTAAATCAATGGGCATTGGACTTTGACGGAAATTCTAGAAGAATTTTGCAAAGTATTCAAGAAGCTAAAGATGCTGGCGCTACCTACAGAAGCGGACCAGAATTAGAAATTTGGTAAAATTTCTTCTTCTCTAAAAAAGAAATAGAAATCATTCATTTAATGTGGAATTTATAATATATATTTTCATCCATAATATATAGAATTTTTTTCCTGTATAATATATAAATAAATTTAAAAATAGTATTCAAAGTTCTATTTATAAACTGAATGAAGAAATATGAATTATGAAAGAATGAAAACATTAGTAGCCAAGAATAATAAAAAGAGTTATAAAAGAAATATAAAAAAGAAAGATAATGAAAAAAAAACTTAATTCTTCTATTATTATTAATGAAATATACTTTATTATAATATACTTATTAATACAATAAAATTTAGTGAAATTTATTAATGATTTATTAATTCTTTTTAAGAAATAAGAAAAATTAAGAAAATATTCATGTATAAAATAAACAACAGTATAAATTAAAAACATTTATTATTTATCATATTTATTTTTACAGTGGTTATAGCTGTGAGGACCATTTCTATGAATCAGACACGTTATTCCATAGCTGGGAAGTACTTGCAATGATTCTTAAATCGACCGTTGCTGAAGATATGCTTATCGATGTCGGTATGCCAGTCATGCATAAGAATGTGACGTATAATTGCAGAGTGGCCTTTCTGAATCGACGAATTCTGCTCATCAGACCCAAGATGCAAATGTGCGAGGACGGCAATTACAGAGAATCCAGATGGTTTTCACCGTGGACCAAGGTTATTTTTTGAAATTATATATATAAAAATTTCCCGATTTTCTAAGTCTCAATATTCAATATTATGTTTGAGTCAAATAATTATTAATTATTTATATAGGAACGTATGGTGGAGGACTACTTTCTACCTAGAATGATATCTCAGATCACCAACCAAACAGTGGTGCCGTTTGGCGATGCTGTTATTTCGACTAGAGACACATGTGTAGGTTTTGAAATATGCGAAGAATTATGGAATCCGATGAGCAATCATATTCCAATGTCTTTGGATGGTGTTGAAATTATTGCGAATGGTAGCTGAAAATATTATAGTACATGCACAGTACTACAGAGTTTTAGAGTTAATTTTTTTTGAAAGTATTAATTAAACTAACAATTATTTTTAATATTTAATAATTTATTTGAATATTATATTATACAAATTTTTATATGTGAAATCTCTCTTTGTTAATATAATTTTAATAATGCTAATAATAGATTCATCATAGATTAAAAATTAGATTGAAAATTAAAGAGAAATAATTTTAATATAAATCCAATTCTAAAACTTGTAGATGCATCATATATAATAATCTTCATTTTTAATTTTTTTTTTAAAGAAGAACTTATATATTTATACTTATAATTTTGTTTTTGAAGGTAGTGGCTCATATTTTGAATTACGGAAAGCATATGTCACTGTGGACTTGGTTAAATCAGCTACATTTAAATCTGGTGGTTGTTATATGTTTAGTAATTTAAGGGGTTGTGATGGTGCTAGAGTTTATTTTAATGGAGGCTCTTGCATTGCTTTAAATGGCCAAATTTTAAATCGTGGCAAGCAGTTTGCTTTGGATGAAGTAGAAATCATTGTTGCGACTTTTGATTTGGAAGACATAAGGTCTGTAATATTTACTAAACTTTAAAGATTGTTAAATATTCGTTTAAAATTTAATTTCGATTTAATCGAATTGTTTATTTTTTTTATAGAAGTTATAGAAACAATATTAGATCAAGGTCACATCTAGCAGCCAGATCACCAAGTTACCCACGTGTAAAAGTAGATTTTGCTTTAACTTCCGAAAATTTGATTTCCACTCCTCCAGATCGACCAATCGATATAGATCTAGGTCCTTACGAAAATGAAAATATAACGGGAAAACTTTCTTATCATACTGTTAATGAAGAAATTTCAATGGCACCTGCTTGCTGGCTTTGGGATTATTTGAGGTTCGTCTATTTATAATTATATATATAAGCTATACTTAATATAATTTAATCGTTTTGATTTTTGATCTAAATGTTTTTTATTCTTTTTTTTTTTTTTTTTTTGAAAAGGCGTTCTTGCCAAGGGGGTTTTTTTT